AGGCCAAAATGCACATGGGACCAGTGCTGAGCCTGTGTCCTGCCTGTCAGCATCCCCATCACTGGCTTTGCTGGGGATGTCTTTAGCACCTTGCTCCAAATTCATGCCCCACCCTGATGGCTTCGCCCCAGGGTCACAATGCACCTTATGTGTGGGAGAGCATCCCCCTGCACACCTCCTGTCCCTGGGGACAGCACTGGAGGGGGCCAGGGTGACGTGCCGTGCGAAGGCACAGTGAGCTGGGATGTGTGAGGAGCCGTGGGGCCACAGTGCTTTTGTTGTGGGTAGGAAGCAGAGAGCACGCCAGCTTCTACTGAAGAGCATTAGTCACCGCTCCGCTCTTCCACTCATTTTAACCATTTCTATGTCTGGTGCCATAAAAAGGCATCTTTATTTGGCACTAGAGGAAAGCACAAAGCTGCCTTTTCTGTCTCAGGGGAGTAACTGCCACCACCACACGCTGTTACATGTGTAGGATGCAGTGCTGGATGAGGGTACCTGACTGCAGCCTGCTGTCCTCCGTGCAGTGCAGGATGTGCTCCTATGCCCAGTGCCTTCATTGCCAGGATGCTGGCAGGGGACAGAGTGTAAGTGCTTCTTCTTCAAGGCTCTTCCCCAGTGAGACCCATTGGGTGGCTTTGAGTATTTTATTTTTAAGTGATTACTTCTCCAAACAGATTTGGATGAAATGCATCCATTATTACTTTGTGCCATTTATTGAAATAATGTGGTAGCCATCTCTAGCCAGTATCACTGGCATTAATAGTCGCTGGCAGTGCCAAGGAGCCACAGATCCTTCGGGAAGAGGCACCACTGCCAGGAGCAGCATGCCATGGACAGGAGGCTGCTGCTTGCCCCTGCCTGTTCTCCCTGCCAGGACAGCAGGCATGAGGGGAGGCAGCATGTGTGTTTATTCAGCCCCATCAGTTTGCAAACAGCCCCTCTGCCCATCCCCATCACAGGGCAGGAAATAACATTTGCACTCACACCATGAATGCATTTGCTGCTTTTAGCTCAATTTAAAATCACTGTGTATTTACCTACATTTAAAAGCTGATCCCTTTAGGAATGACATGACCCTTTTGGGGTCCTGTCTGCTCCTCAACATGTTAAAACCCGCAGGCAGCCCCAGCACAACTTGTAAGGAGCTGATGTGAGTGCAGGTCTGCTGGTGATGGGTGGTTTGGGGTGGGCAGATGGAACATTACCCACTGCTGGGCCCTGGCATGGGGCTTGCAAACCCAACCCAAACCCACTGCGGAGCAGAGGGAACAGGCAGATGCTCAGGACCCCTTGGAGCAGTGATCTGGGAGAGGGAGCCAAGGAAAATGAGAGGCCAAACATTGTGGCCACAGTCAGATCCGGCTGGGAAAGCACAACCCCTTTGCAACTGCAGCATGCTGGGATGCTGAGGGGGGTCCCTTCCTCACAGCAGGGTGCACAGTGTGGAATCACCCTCATGCCTCAGGGATGAAGGCAGCCCTGATGCTGCTTACATCATTTCCCAGTTTACAGTCACCATCCAGGATCACTTCAGTTTTTCCCCTCTCAGCACGTAGCTGAGTGCCACCTACTTTGGGATATTCACATTGCATCATTTGTTTCCATAAACCATTGCCAGTATGAAGGCAAGCACGGAAAAAGGCAGGAGCAGCCATCTCCTGCAGACAGTGTGCCTGCCTGTGCAAGCCACCCTAGCCACCAGCCAGCTCCCCTGGCTTTTCCTTTCCTCCTCCTCCAGGCAGAGATCTTTAGCTTGGTTTGGTTTTATCCTCTGGGACAGATCTGCTTCCCCTAGGTGAACTCCAGCCCTTCAACCACCCAAGTCCCACCAAATTCCTCTCATGCCTGGATCAAGTAAAGGCAGGTCACTGGGGTGGTGGGAAGGTGCTTTGGAGGGAGCCACACTGCATCATGCAGGGCAGGGATGCAACCCCCCTACTGCTCCCTCCCCTCACCGTGCATCCCTCCATGGTGCTGGGGGTCTTAGCACCCCTTGTCCCCATGCTAGTAAGCATGGGTCACACAAGGTTGTGGAGGTCACTACGGTTTTCATGCCCACTGGTCCTAGTGGGCTGATGCTCCGATAAAGTCCATTACAGGATGACTTAGTTTAAAGGCTGCTCGCTTTAAGCATAATTACTTTCCCCTGAAGCTTTCCATGGGAGGGTGGTTTCAAAGTGAGCTCCTGTTTTGCATCTCGCTTCTTTTCCTGGAGGAGTTTAGGTGAACCCAAGCGAGAAAACACCCCCATTTCCTGCATTTGTGCTGGGCACGGGGCAAGTTTAATGTGAAACATCTCCAGAACGTGGGGCAGGACTCCAGTGTTCTGCTTCAGATAAATCCCTGTCTTTGCTGCTGGATGCTTCAGAGGTGCGTCACATTACCATGTTATCTGATGGAATAGCTATCAACGGCAGCTTCGGAGTGAAATGCTACGGAAAATCTGTGTAAGCTATCTGCAGCCTCGCAGCACAGATAGACTGTGATTACAGCGACAGCCCGGCTCTGTCTCCTGTGTTTAATGTGTGTGTACGTGTCCAGCTGCGGCACAGCGACCCGCACCAGCTCTTCCTCTGCTCTGTGATGCTCACTGGAGCCTTTGCTTTCATGAAGCTGCAGCTCCCAGAGCCTTGAGATGCTGCCATGACCTCATGTGTGATTTAACCAGAACAAGAAGCTGCCAGCTTCCACAGTCGCAGGGAAAAAGCTTGAAAACACGAAGCCTCGAGGCTCCAAAAGCCAGAACCCCTTTGCAAAGAGTGCACTGTTGCTGTCTGGTGTTTGCAAGGCCATTATTTTAAAGCCAAACTCATTGTTCTTGCTTTGAGATGGGGAAGAGATTTGCCTTTTGCAATACCATACAAATGTATCCAGCCTCTTGCACTAAGGAGAGTCACATGCTCCTCATTAGGATATTGTTAAGATGAGGGTGATGAAGACAGACAGGATCTTGGCCAGAGGGGTTCACTGCTTGGTCTTGACCACTCTTGAAGTCACTTAGCCCTACAACATTGGGACAACTGTTATTTTGGGGTGTTATTTGGTAATTTGGGCATTATTTTGGGTATTTTGAGCGCAGTGGTTGTGGATAATGGCTTTATAAACACCAGTGGGATCTGGTAGCTGCTAGTTACAGACGGCCAGGCATGCAAAGGAAATCCTCCCCGCTGTTGTAAGAGCAATGCCACTGTGAAAAGCCCATGTTCATACTGTGATACCAGCCCAGCAATTCCCTTTGGGACCATGGCCTTCTGGACTGTAGGAACAAGGGCAAACAATCCATCTGCGCACTGGCAGGATATTCAGCATTGCTGGAAAGTATGTTCAACCCTGAGGGTTTTTTAAATACATAGGGTTATAATGTTGTTCTGAGGTCACTGGAACCCAAAAGCCTGACTCCTGGCTCCTGTAAAATGAATGTCTGAGTCTTTTTGCTGTGGTACAGGACTTGCCTTCCATTCACTAAGTGAAACGTCACGGGCAGAAAAGAAGCTCAAGAAATGCTAAATGGCTGGAGCAGAGCAACAGGGATAAATCCAGTCCTTTATCTTCCATGATAAACACAGCTTTGAGAGGAAGATTTAATCTGCTGCTTTGATTCGCAAGACGCTCAGCTTGTGAGATGCACTTGAACCTCATGGAAAGTGCTGCCTGATGCCGCTGACACCCAGCTGCTGCGGGCATGGAAGGGTGACTTTTCCTGCTTTTCCCAGCACGTCAGGGCTCTTTCAAGACAATTTGACTCCTGGTCCTGATGTTTATGCTCACATTTACACTTGAACCAAGGTGTGTGCCTGTGCTTACATATCCAGTCTGGTGACTTGAGGAGACCGAGTGTGGGACCGGGAGAGTCCCTTTGCCCAGCAGCAGTGCAGCTCTATTGGGGCAGGGAATGAGCTGCCCACCCTGTCATCCCAGGGAAAATGCCACTCGTGGAGACGCAGGAAAAGAGAAATAAACTGCAGGCAGGTAGAGTCGCAGGGGACCCCCCTCTGCCCACATTTCCTGCTGCAGTGGGGAGGGAGAAGCAGAGTTTGCAAGGGCTTTTCCAGCTTTTTGGGTTGCGCACCATCCACGGCAGGGGACCCGGAACGGCGGAGCAGGAATGGTGGTGGCTGAGGGGGCATGACCGTCCTCATCCCCCCTGGGAGCATGGAGTAGGAAAAAGCAGGATATTAGTAAAAATCAGAAGCTGGGGCGTGAAACTGGAAGATGAGAATGGCGTGGCAGTGACCTGGGCGGCCTCAGCGCCCGGCTCCTGTGGGCATCTGCTTGTTAAAGTGCTGATTTCCTTGCCAAATCCACTCCCCAGGGAAGGTTTACATGCAGCGCAGACCCCGGTCCGGGGCTGGGGCTCACAGAACCACCTGGTTTGGAAAGACCTTTAAGATCATCAAATCCGACTTTTACCCCAACGCTGCCAAGGCCACCACTAAACCATGTCAGTACAGGCCTCATTTACACAGTTTTTGAACGCTTCCAGGACGGTGTTTCCAGCAATGTCCTGGGAAGCCTGTTCCAATATTGAACTGCCCTTTTAGGGAAGAACTTGCTGCTGATGTCCAATCTAAACCTCCCCTGGTTCAGCTTGAGGCCGTTACCTCTGTCCCTATCACTCAATACTTGGTAGAAGAGCCCAGCCGGTGCCGAGTACAGGCGGATGACCACTTCCCAGCCCCACTATTGCCGATACAAGCCAGCACACCCTCTGCCGCCTGCACACCCCTTCCTGGCTGGGATGGGCACCATGGGCCTTCTCCGGGGGACCCCCGGCCTTCCTTTGGGGGGAAGCACCGAGGCGTCCTCACCGTGGCGCTGGGGGACGGCCCCGACCGCTCGGGGCTCAAACGTTGCGGGTGGCACCAGCACGGCCACAGCCGGTGCCCCCGGTGCTCGGCGCTGCGCGCTGCGGGCCGGCTGCAGAGCGCGGCGCCTTTAAGGCGCGCGGGCGGCGCGGCCCCGCCTCGCCCCGCCTCGCCCGGCCGCCGGGGCGGCTGTGGGGCGGCCTGAGGGACCGCCGCCGCCTCCCGCCGCGCTCAGGCAGGGCAGGGCAGGGCAGGGCGCTGCTGGGCCGGCGGAGGGGCTGGCCCGGCCCGGCCCCGCGGGCGGGCGGACCCAACGACAAACAGACCGACGCTCACACACACAGACGGGCGGCGAGCAGCCCCATGGCTCTGGATTTATAAACACGGCGCAGATGGCGGGGCCGGGTCCCCGCGCCGGGCGCTGCCCCGCCGGCCGCTGAGGCGGGAGGTGAGGAGAGGAGGGAGCGGCGGCAGCGGCGATGGGGCCGGCGGGATTAGGTAAGGGGGGGCAGCGGAGCTGTGGGGAGCGGGGAGGTGCCCCCGGGCGTGGCGCTGCCCCCAGCGGGCCCCCGCCGGTGTGGGGCTGCGACTCGGGGCGGGGGCCGGGGCCGGGGCCGGGCCGTGAGGGGCCGCTCCCGGCAGGTGGGGAGCGGGCGGCCGCCGTTATGTAAAGCCGAAACGTGCCGCGGGAGCGGGGCGCTGACGAGAAACTTTCTGGTTTTGTCGCGTTTTCTTGTGCTTCACCCTCACGGGAAAGCGTTGCGCGGTTCGGGGTGCTCGGGGAGAGCCCCGCACTGCGGGAACTCGAGGGGACACCGGGTCGGGGGGGTGCACCCCAAGGGCCGGTTTTTTGCCTCGGTCCCCCTTCCAGTGTTGATCTGTTTTCCGTGGTGGCCCCACATTCGCGTTGGAAGCCGGTGGGCTCGCGCTGGCACACGAGCGTGAGTCGCAGGCGCCGTTGGGCCGGGTGGGGTGATGCGGGCCCGGCCCCCGAGCCGTGCCGGTGCGTGCTGGCGGGGGAGCCTGGGCCCGGCGGCGGTGGGAAGGAGGGAGCTCGCTGAGCTGGCGCTGTGGCGTTCAGCGGCTGCTGTGTAAATGTTTACGGTGGGGAGCAGGGCCAGTGTCTGCAGGCAACAAGTGTATGTGTCCCTGAAGCCCAGCTGCAGTGTCGGGAGTGACTGCCGATTCTTATGATTTCCTGTTCCCTCTTCTCCCTCGGCCCTCCCTCCTGCTCCCTTGCCCTGACAATGCACAAAGAGCAGGCTGCAGTGGGTGCAGGCAGCTGCCTGCCATGTGGGCTGCTGCCAAAGCCACTGAAGCAGCAAAACCTACAGGACTCTGGCCCTCTTGGGGCTGGTGCTGCCTGGGGCCGGGGGCTGTGTTGACCCAATCCCTCCTTCCATCGCTTTGAACCCTGTGGATGTCCCTGCTTGTACAGCCTGCGGGAGCTCCTGCCTGCGCTGGAGGCTGGGTCTGCTCCCTGAACTTTGTGTTTTGGGTCAGCTCAAGAATTCGCCCGAGAGGACAGTGCTGATCTGTGCGATGGGGAGTTCCTAACGCCGCCCTTTCTGCTCACAGGCATTTATGGTTTGAACTCTGTCTGCGACCTCTCCCTCAGTATTTGCACGAAGCAAAGGTTGGTGTTCTGAATGCCTGAAAACGTCAGGGTTTTGCTGAATACGGCCTTTTTAATCTGTCTGTGGTGGATGTGATGTTGTTCTGCTGGTATTCTTTGGCTGTGTGGGGTAAGAGTTTTTCCATTTAGTGTAAGGGTTTTATCAGCAAGGTTAAGTTTTAGTTTGCCATGTGCTTCACAGATAAAGGTTTGGTAACGCCACCGATTCAGAAAGGCAAGGAATGTGAGCTGGGACAACTGAGTATTTCCATCGCTTCTGAAAGTGGTGGCAAAACTCGTGGAGGGCTCCAGTGAAAGCTGTTTTTTCTTGGATGGCTTTAGTGAAGTTGTACTTAATTCCCTGAATTTCACTGCTGACTCGTTGGGTAACTCTGGGATATAGCTCATGTGCTTTGGTCTGCCAGCTCTGCACAGAGGCCATGCCTTGGGTGGGGAATACAGTAAGCAAGGCTCACAGTGTTTGGAGGCTGAGTCCCAAGATGCCATGGGAGGGAAGTTCTGTGTGGGACTGTATTTTATAACTTCAGTTGGGTAAGTTTCAATATGAGAGAAACTCTTGCAAAATGCGTTTAGTTTATTGAAAGCAAATGCACTCAAACCTCGGTTTGTTGTTGCCAAGAGGGAAAAAGTATAAGCTATTTTTGGTACGAGAGAGGAGATGGGGCACGCACAAGTCTGGGGCAGGAAAACACTGGTACTTTGTTCTTCTGGCTTCATGTGGGTGGTGGTTTCTGTTATTTAGCTGTGTGTTTCTGCCAAGTTGCAAAACATACCTGGTTCTGAAAACCCTGCGGAGGTCAGGACTGGCTCCGAGGAGCTGGTGCTGGGCCCGGATGGGAGCACCTCCCAGGCTGGTGTCTCCAGCGCTGGAGAAGTGGGTGGATGCTTCTGGGTTCACACCTCTGAGCACCATGGAGGTGACTGGGGTGTTTTTTTGTGACAGGATCTGGAGTGAAACCATAAACTTGTTTCACGCAAGCCACTGAGCAGCTGCTGCTTGGCAATACCTTTCACTTGCTAATGGCTGTGGTTGGATTGGAACCAAGTCGCCTCGAGTGGAGGTTGTACCAGTCCCTGGAGCCATCCTGCGCTAAATCCAAAGAGGGTTTGGTTCAGGCTGTGTTCAAGTCTTGTAATTAGGAGCTGCAGTCTGGTGAAAGCAGTTTTGTTATGATTGGTGGTGAAGGTGTGTGTGCAGCTGTGCTGATAGCTGCATGTGTCGAGAGAGCTACCAGTCTCATCTTCCGTGGCATGGCTGTAAATTACTTGTCCCCTTGATGGCTCCTGCTTGATGGTTCTTCCTGCTGCTGGTTCTGGTTGTTAGTGGCCTCTACTGAAATGCAGTTCTGTTTGTTTTCAGGTCATCCTGAGAGAAACCTGTGTGAAGCCAACCATAATTTACATGTTTGAGATACTGTCATCTTCTCAGCTCTTTGGGGATGAGGAGAGTTATGATCTCCCCAGTTTCTAGATGAGTAGGTAGGAAAGGAGGATTAAATTGGTAAATTTTCAGAAGTGGGTTTTGAGCAGCTAATTTGAGCAATTGCAAAGGGGCATGGGCTTGAGAGGGCCTGTGTTTTGGATGCAGTGCTGCCTATCCCTAACCCAGCGTCTCACTCGGACCAGATCACTAGGCAGGTCTGAAAATGGGCGAGGGAGGTTACGTGAAGTTCAGTGTGTCGGAGCAAGTCTGCGGGAGAGCTGCTGAAGAGGAGTCTCTTTCCCTGGGAGTGCTTTACCTGCTCAGTGTGAGGGCTTGTTACTCCCAGTGGCAGAGTACTGGTTCCCTCCAGGGTTCTGTTCCTGCAAGCAGTGATCCCCCAAATGCAGACCACGGGCTAGATGCAGGGGTGCTTGGGGGTGGAAATCTAGGGCAATGTGTTCTTAAAAAGGACTGTTATCTTTGTGCAGCTGCATTTGTGTGAGCTGTGGCTTCACTGAGAGATGTCAGTGGAGGGCAGGGTCAGCGCTAATGGAGCTAGAAATGAGGTAGAGCAGCACCCAGTCGCCTCTGTGATTAGTGACTGAGGCTCTTGCAGCTGCTTAAGGATTTGGGCATCATGAGGTCATGGATTTTCATCTAGGATGCTGTGGCACAGGCTCTTGCATGGCTTTGAAGGGCCTTTGCTGAATATTGACATAGGAAAGTGGTAGAGGATTACTATTTATGGCTGGACTTGTGCTGGCACACAGGTGTCAGGGTCTCCAGTTTGCCCTGTAACATCGAAGGGATAGATCTTTGTATTGCAGTAGAAAATGGAAATGCATTTCACTTAATGAGCCTGGCTGGAGCAGAGATGCTTCCTAAAAAAGGACTGAAGAGGGGAGCTGGATCTCCAAAACAAAGAGCATAAATATGCCCACAAAAGCCTGGTCAGAGTGAGAGAGGGATTGGGTAGGAAGGGGAGGATGACACAAGAGCAGAAGGAGCTGAGTGATTTGGCAGTTTTGGGAAGTGAACCCTGACCTGTGCATGAGACAGCAACGGGACTCTTCTGGGAATTGAGAAATCTGGGTTTCACCCCCAGTCCTGCTGCCTACCTCACTTGCCACTTCCCTTCTGGAGGCCACCACTTCTCCTTTCCTGCCAACCTGCCTCTGGCAACTGAAGGTTTTCTGGGCTGTCCCTTATTAAAGGCAGGGAGGGGATTTTTTGGTGAGTGGGCAGCGCTCACAGGGTGCTACCCCTGCCAGCTTCATGGTGGGAAGCTTGGAGAGATGAGACGTGGTTGTGGTTGGCCAGGCAGGAAGAGGCACTGATTGCTGCGGACTCTGCTGCTGACAGTGGGTGCCTGGCTGCTGGTCTGGATTAGGCTTTGAGAGGTCTGGAAAGGAGTTCTGCCTGCAGGGGAGAGGTGCTGGCATTGAAGGAAAAGCAGTAAAGATGGAGCTAGATGGCTGTGATTGCTACCGCAGTGGCTGGAGGAGAGCTGGGGCACAGGGGGAGACAAGGAGAGCAAAAGCAATCGGCAGGGTTATGTGCCTGCTGGGTGGCATGGAGGATGTTGATAATAGTTAGTGCTCTCAAGCGCTTTATAGCTTCTGAGCACTGAATAAACATTAACGAATGTGTAGGATAGCAGCTTTGTCTACTTACAGAGAAGGGAAGTTAACTCCAAATTAACTTTATGATCCGTGAAACTGAAGGTTATTTAAAAAAATAGTAACATAAATGGAAATGCTGAAGTTTTCCAGAGTCGCCGCTTGTTGTTTAATGCTTTCCATTTTTTCACTCCCAGTCTGTGTTTTTGGCTCAGGAGCAAATTACAGGCAATATCAGCTTACGCTTGGATTTGAACCCACATCGCTCTTAGTCAGCTGAAATATTTCCCCTTATCGCCGCTCCCATAATGTTTATTTTAGACTGGATAGCATCATGGCTTTTCTGCTCACAGTGGGAAGAAGCCACTCTTTGAGACTGCCCAGCACTTTGGAAAGAAAAGATTTCAAAGCTGGTTTGGTTTCTGGACAAGGTACATCTTTGTTTTCCACTGACAGCTTTGTGCAAGGCTGTATCCCAGAAAGGTTTGTGGCATTAAAAACCCAGGAGGCAGCAGATGGATGAATTGTTGACAGATTTAAAATCATATGACAAACATAAAGCATTCAGACGTGAGGCCAAGGCAGGAGGAAGGTTGCAGGGGGATGTGGAGGCAGAAAGGTCGAGTAAGTTGTTCTGGGTGGGAGGAGATGTGCAGGCGAGGGCAGACTCCAATGGGTTCAGCCTGCAAGGGGAAGGGAAGGCTTTCAAGAGGAGGGATGTGGCAAGAAGAGTGCTCCCATTAAGGGTCAGGGAGCCCTCCGTGTCCTGGACTGCTGGTGGGAAGAAGAGCAGGAAGAGGGCCAAGTCCAGCCTCAACAG